AGGTTCATTCGTTTATTCAATGAACAAATTTACTTTACATTCATCAACACAGCCGTAAAATTTTCCACACTTAACATCTCATATTAACCTACAAATCAACAGTCGTCATTGGATAATAAGGTCAGAATTAGGTTTTCGGTTGCATCACGGATCTTGATAGTATTTTAGGAGAGGCTAGTCATCATGCCTAGTGTTTTGCAGGTGTACAGAACGGAATGCAAATGGGACGATTATGTGGAGGACCCGGGCCCGAGCGAACCTTATCGCCAGATGATGTTGCAATGCTGATGAAAGAAAGAGATCAACTGGCTGAAGATGTGAATTCGTTGGAAACGAGTTATGGTGAACTGTTCAGGCGATACGAAAAACTTCGACAGACCAGCATTGACATCAAAAATGTTTGTTATTTTCAGTGTTGAAATTGATTATTCATCAAAACGCTCAACATTTAGAAGAAAGCCATCGTATTGTTGATACCAATTGTTGTGGTATTACAGCAATGAGGACACTGTAAGCTGAATGAAGATATCATTTTGCTGTGACATTTTCTCTTGCAATCTAATTGTCACTGCAATTATGAACCGACGAAGGTGGGCTTTAGTTATGCACGATGTTCAATCCGTAAGACGTTTTCGGAATGAATTCCATAACTGTTCGAAAAATTGCAAATGTCGATTTCAGAACGAAGATCGAGCCAAGAAGCAGTCGGAGGAAATGGCTCAACGTTACGCTTTGCTCATCGAAAAGTTCGATATGTTACGCAAGAACGCCGAAGATCAGCTTGATTTGTAAGATTTTCATGAATGTTCGGGATTCGTATTCAGTTGGTCACAACTCCTCTGCTGGATAGAGTCATAAAACATACATTTAAAAATCGAGTGAATGTTATGTGTGACATTTTCATCTCAGTGAACATACCTAATCTCTTAGAATTCTCAGCGTTTGGTTATTTGTAATAATTACATCTCGGTAAAAATTCCTTGATGGCAGCTAACTCATTACATCATGACGAGTAGTCACCCCACTTCACTGATATCTCACCCTCGAAGCATCCTTTTCCGATTTTGCTTGCTAGTTCCAAGAAATTTTATTGTGGAATTTCAGAGCGAACAATGAAATCGATCGAATGATGAAGCAACATGAGGACGATACGTTGACGTTACGATTGCGAGTGAAACAGCTCGAAACGAAAGTTGAATCACTCAACGTTAACCTTGAAGCGAAGGTTCGTTAACTTCACATCCAACTGCTTTCTATCCTCCTCTCCTCTTCCTATATCTTTCCATCTGCATTAATCTCACTCATGGTGTCGTGATCTTATTCTGCTTGCGAATGAATTGGACGGATCACACCAGAAAATGTTCAGTTTCACTTGTGAAAGTCGTGACTAATCCATGACACATTCAATCTATAAAGGTGTGGTACTTAAGCCATCCGAAGAGTCCGTTCTGTAGCCATCTGACGATGAGTATAATTTTCATCAATTTCAGCAACGCGAAATGGACGAAATGACAAATATCTTCGAGGAGGTAATCAACAAGGCGGAAAACAACAGCTGAATCTTCAACTAAAATCTCCAGTTGTCCCCTTGAATATCATCTTCTCAATGCTTTTTTTCCGCATTTCATACAATCATTTTCCATTGTTATATGATTTATTTGGCGAAACAAATCATTGCAAAAATTATTTTGTTCAGTCAAATAATTAAATCACCTTATGTAAGCATTTGTATGAGATGCACATGGAAAGTTCCAGTTTTGATTTGTTTCGGCTTTATAAAATACGTATTGGTCTCGTTGTGATTTCTTTTTTTCTTTTTATGTTCCGTTTGTTCGCATCATACTTTTATGAATATGCAATTCTTAGAGTTGTTGTTATTATGCTATTCGCAGCTGATTTCTCTTTAAATTAGTAATCTCAACCAAACGAATTTCTTTTATCACTATTGGAAATGTGAAAATAAACACACAAATGAAGGTTTGACATGAAAAAAAGATGATCATCGAAGCCTTCCTTGTATTCATTGCGCTTTGATGCGTAGTCTTCGAAATGACGTCGTTGTTATCAAAAGATCATAACTTTTTGAACATGAAACAGTTGACATGGAATCTTTTCAACTGCATAAACAATTGTGTTATTTATTCCGTCTGATTTGATATTGTTGCTGTATTTATTTGACGTATTTTCTAGTTATTGTTCTTGTTATCTTTCTCATTCAATATTTACATGATTCTGTGCGTAACGTTCCATCTTAAAGTCATTGTTCACATCTGTGTAAGTCGTATTATTCGCTTCTGGAAGATCGGCACTTACGGACTTNAGTTCACATCGAATGAAAACACGATCTCAAGCTGAGAATCCCCCCATGTTATTGGAGGTGTTTGTGCATTGCATTATTGTTACTTTTAACCATCAATGCACAATTTCTATTTATCTTTTGGTGATTGCATCGTTTTCATTGTACGTATGTTCTCAATTTCTATTTTGCCTATTCGAAATTGGGCGATCATTTTAGCTGTAATTGTGATGAAATTCATAATCAGTGATGCATTTACCGGCCTTCATCGTTGTACTTGTTACGGTTAGTGGGACAGTTTTTCATGTTTCACTGAATTGAAATTGCGATTACGGAGATGAGATATAATCGCATAAAGATCTGGAAAGTTACGCCTCTTATTCTTGTTGTTTTGAGTTCTAATGTATATGAATATTAAGTCGGGTTATTTGCATTAATTGATCAGTTATGACGTCCTGTATGGCGTTCAGATGCTTATGTTATGTTGGGCGAGCAGTATCCAGTAGTATATAACACTTTTGACTTTTGGTCATACTTTCAACCGATTTGTAACGAAACTTTACCGTTTACAATAAAATTATAGTTCATGTGTTGATTATTCATTGCAGTTACACTTTATTATCTTTTACATGTATAAGATTATTTATAACAGTTCATGTCTTGTTCAGCCACAAAATCCTGCCAAACTTCTCTATAAGTCATCAGTTTTATCAAATTAAGCTAGTTTTTTTCCGATAGTTTAAGGATCCTTAAAATCTTGGTTTTCGATCCATCAAGTGACACATGTCAATTTATCCAATATGAAGTGAGTGAGTTACACTCTACAGTTCCCTTCCCAATTTTTTTGATTGAGAAGAGTGCTTTTGTAAGCATGTTACCGTTAACTCTCAACCCGTTCGGATCTCCTCAGATTCAGCTCTTTTCGTTTTTGCCTGAGTTCAAATTTCTCAAATTTTGATTTTTTCAGCTTTCCTTTCTAAATGTTTCCGATTGGAATAGGTTCATTTATTTGACATTCTGATTTCATTTAAGAAAACGCACGAGAAAATGTTCAAAATGGATCTTTCAAAATAATATCATTAATGACTTCGAAGTTTA